CCCTAGATGGGACTGGCTTCTAGGCTGTGAGCTCACATTGCTGGGTCATGCCCAGCTTTTCATCCACCAGTACCCTCAAGCCCTTCTCTGCAGGGCTTCTCTCAATGCACTCATCACCCAGCCCACATTTGTCCTTGGGATTGCCCTGACCCCTGTACAGGACCTTGCACTTGGCCTTGTTGAACTCCAGGAGGTCCACACGGGCCCACCTCCCAAGCCTGCTAAGGTCCCTCTGGGTGGTGTCCCTCCTTCAGAAGAGGCACCCTCCCTGCGTGCTCCCTGCCGTGGACTGCCACACCACGCTCCGCTCACAGCCCTCCCCAGGCTGCTCCCACAGGCATGGGGAGGGGGCCACAGCTGCTCTGGCACTGCCCAGGCCTTGTCAGCATCTCCCACGAGAGAAGCAAACACCCAACAACATAACCCAGCATTTAACATGGGCCGGGCAAATGTCCTAACAAGGGAACTACCCAAGAGGTACCTGCACACACCTAGGCAACAAAGGAAACATGTTCAACCTGAACTGAAATACCCGAATGCTGAAGATTCCTTTCAGTCTTGTACAAATGTTCACTTCACCCTCCTCAAAGAAGGGCCTTACAGTGCAATACAGAGTGATGACATCGAGAAGAATCCCCACGTTCATGTTCCAAATCTGCTTTGAATAGTACTGTTCCCAAACTCTTTGTTACGAGCAATCGACTGCTCTCCCCTTGTTGCACGTTTGGGCAGGCAGGACCAAGTCCCAGGGTGCCCAAACAACACCATCTACCTTTGCCCCCTCCTTAAATTAGAGTCACTTCAGCTGATGACAGAACTACACTTGCCACAACTTCACAAGTGGGAGTTTAATGAACACATCTGAGATTACAGTCCTGTCATTTCCACATCTGCCATAAGTATTGCTACAAAATGACTGCAGTCAGACTAACTCCTGTTAAAGCAGCGTGTTCCAATGTGAGAGAGTGTCTGTCTGAAGCAGCTACAGGTGAGGATTCCAGCATCTCCCATTTGCACAGTGATTCCCTTAACCAAGCCCCTGTAGATCTTTCTCTAAACTCACAATAAGTTTGTGCTACAAGTTACAGATAAGCAAGAAATGGTGAACTCAATGTGAACTCCATGTATCAATTTGCTATCTGCCATCACTTTCTGGAAGGCAATTAAGGCAGGGATCAGTAACAATTTAGAGGTTTAGTTTTACTACTCAAAATTCCCCAATCTCTCTAGAAACTACTTACTGCTTTCATCTTTCAGCCTGGAAAGCCCCTGCAGGACTATGTTTTAGCTGGCATCAGCAAATTAAACTTAGGGTGTATCTACTGGTCAGCTCCACAAAGCATCAGCTTCACAGTGTCAGGCACACTTAGCCCAGATGTTTTCCTTTAGTGTTTTCTTAAAAAAATGCTAACGTAGGAGAACAAGGCAGGAGGCAGAACAGTAACAGCAGAATTGCAGAGATGAGTCAGGTTAAGTCACACCAGACTTCACACACACACACAGATGAAGGGGGTGTCCTCCAGCAGATCTGCTGGTTTCCTGCCTTCCTAAAGCTCCTATCACAGCTCAGAGTATTTCACTGCCTCCCCTCTCCAGCCTGCACCTACCTGTGCTCTCTGGGAGCCTTCCACATCTTTCTCTAAGCAAGACAACTTAGTGCTAAGCAAGTGTCCCTGTCAGCATGGAGGAATCCAGCAAGTAAGTTCTGACACAGAGCACCACAGTTTGTAACACAGCCCTGGAGAGTCATTGCTGGGGCAGTGGGAAACAAGCTCACGTCTGAGCTCACCTGGATGGAGTTCCTTCAGCCTGGAACTCAGCTCAGCAACGCGAGTTCTGTACTTGAGTCAGTCAGCCAGCTCCTGGCTAGGTCTGCCAGCAGCCCTCCCTGCTGCAGGAGCAGTCACACCACCAGTCTGGCAGAGCACATCCCGGGCCAGGATGTTCCCATCCTTGCCCTCTACTGGGTGCTGTGGATAAAGCAACAAACTGCACTTACAAAAACCCAGACCGAGTACTTGTGTCAATTTGAGAAGAGTTTCTTCCTCCTTCAGCCATCATACTCAAAAGCAAAGGGCAGAGAAATATGAACTCACATGGGGTGGGGGAACCAGCTTTTAAAAAAGTCTGAGAACCACATAACTTCTCATTTCACACCATGTTTTTCATACAAACCTTAGTCAGCAACTTCTCACCTACCATTTAAGTGAGCTCATCAAAAACCCCACAGTACAATAGCAAGAAGATTTACTGACTTCCACAAAAAAAATCAAGAGTAATATATAGTTTTGTTGACTCAGAGTTAATAATTTTCCCTGACAAACACTTCCCTCTGGAAGAACAAAACCCAGTCTTGTAACTTATTTTCATCTTAAAGTGTGCTTTTTCAGATTTAAGAGTATATATGGCTTAAGATTTATACATCTGTTCCTTAAATTGACTGCCTAATCCTACTGATCAAATTCTAAGGTCCACCCAGACCTATCAGAAAAAAACCAAGCCAGTGCCAAACTCACACTAGAGAAGGGTCTCCAGTAATGGATGAGATGTCACACCCAGTGACAAGCTCAACAGCACTCTGAAACCAGCCTGGACGTGTATGTTCCTTAGCTGAGTCCTCTGTCTGATTCTGAAAGAACCTTCTTATCACAGAAATATAAAAGACTCCATTTGGATATACAGGTGTTGTGCTTGTATTTGTCTTTAAACTGCTAACCACATGGAATTCCTAGAAAATTTAGTGCAGCATTCAGGAAACAACAGAAAAAGACCTACATTTACCTAAAATCACACAGACTTCTATTTACCTAAATGCATTAAAAAAAAAAAAAAAAAGTCATTTAATGCTGATTGCTACAGGCAGTATCACCTAGATTCACATTTTGGGGCTACAATTAGTACAGCAGTTTAGAGAAACATGCCTACCTCTAAACTTCAAGACTTTGCACTGCATGACCCTGCTTAATAATAACCTTGGTTTCTGCAGGATGTGAGCCACCACGCTCCCTGTACTGGTGATCCATGCAAAAACTTCCTTGGGCAGGGAAGAAAAAACCCCAAAGAAGCTGAGTCACATTCAGTGACTTGTTAGAATCTAAGAGACTTAAAAAACCTCTCAAAGGGAAAAAAACAAAGAGACAGGGAGTGGGGAATTAAATCACCATGTAATAGTCTGTGAAGTGCACCTCAGTCAATGTCAATTCCCTAAAAGTAGCTCAGAATGAGGTATTCAAGGTCTGTTGTCACTACTTGTCTACATACACAGAGTTTCCAGGTGTACTTAGGATATTTCCAACCCCTGAAAGATCAAGTGGCTGCAGGGTGAAACAGAAACGTGTTCTTTCTCTGCATACCTGATATGTACATACTCCAGGGTACCAACAGAGCAGCATCACCTGCTTCCTTCTGCTCCACAGAGTTATGCTGACCCATCCCTATTTTTTTGTTTTCTATAAGCTTCTTTTAAGCATCAAACAGGAATTAGTACCAAGTGTTATTAGTCTTGCAACAGTGGCTGGGCAGCCTCAGAACGTTGCATCTGCATGGTAGGTGTTTGGGTGAGGATAATATGCTTAACAAAGGCTGCAATGAAAACCATAACAAGAGAGATGCCCAGGAAGACTCCTGCAGCAGTAGCGTAGGTGTCTGCTCCAGAGGCTCCAGGGACTTCTTCAGCAAGCATGTCTTTCACAGCCTCAAAGGAGCCATTGTGTGGCAGTGGGTTAATACCAAGCAGATGGCACAATAAGGGGTACAAGTCTGTAGCATTCATGACTTCTTTGGTGGCATTCTTCCTGAAAGCAGGCCCAAAGGCCAAAAAAATGGGATGCATGTCTGGTAGGATGTTGTCATATCCATGATTACCAACTAGAAATAAAAGACAGATAAAGGTCAATACTTTGAAGCTGCAAAGCAAGAGTTGAACCTTTTCCTAGAATTAGCATAATGCAGAAGAACAGTCATCATTTACTCTTGAAGAGGTTTAGAAGAATCATTTTGATCAACAACACAACTATCTTCTACCAAACAGCAAGTCTCAGAACTACAAGGAGAAGATTCTTAAGAAAAGAATGGAGAGCACTATTTAAAAAAAGGAAAAAAAAAAAAAGGTAAGCTCATGTGGCAGTAACAGCCCTGTCTGTGGCACATGATGCTACACCTAAGGTTCTTTGATTTTCCTCAAGCTAAAACTCTCAACTTTGCAACTGGACCAGAAATGTGCAGGCACAAAAAGCTGCTCTCCTCAGCTACCAACAACTGACAAACGTGTTTGGCCGTGCAGGTAACGCTCTCCAGCTTCATAACCAGCAGCAAAGTTTAAAAGGTTTCCAGTCAGGAAACCTAAGAACTGACCATTAATGCCACCTCTATTTTTCCTCCTAGCTACCAAAAGCTACAGTTCACTGTCTCCACTCTACCTATAATAAATCTCAAAACTCGAAGATGGGGAACTTAAAAAGGTGAGGAACTTTTTTTCCTCCAAATCACCTGGAATGGATCTTATCCTACAAATGAAAAAATCCACGGTGTACAATAACACAACATTCAAAGACTCTGTAGCAACAGAACAAGGTAACTGTAACTGTAGGTGCTCATAGAAGTTGAGGACTTTCAGAAATCATTCTCATGTTTCCTACCCAACTTTTCTCCAGTTAATAAATAGCACATAATAAAACAACATTATTCATCTTCTACTCAATAATTTCAGTTACAACTCTTTTTTTTTTCCCCTCTCAGGAAGTGTCAGTTTGCTAGATCTTGCAAGAAGACCTCAAGGATGTGGCCACTGAAACATGTGGATGATCTTATCTCACCAGGTTTGACTTTTAGAAACAGTAAGTCCTGTTCCCCCTCCCCGATGAGCACGGTGCTTCCCATCCCATCAGGAAAAAAAATTACAAAATCTACACACTTAGCTTAAGAGTTTCCCCTCCCAGTCTTAAAAAAGCATAAAATAAAAACTAACACTGGTTGAGACTGGGAGAGAAAGTACCACGTAAGGTCTCTGGCTAGGAAGACAGAGCAAAACAGAGAGAATACTTACACTGAAAACCATCAGACTTATTATAGACAATTTCCCATCCTTCATCAGCCACTGCTAAGATTGGCTGAATTTTCCTGTTGTGTTTGTAATGGAATCTATCTGGAATCTGCTCCTTTTTATACACGGTCATGTTGGGATGAGCATTGGCCAAAGCTCTGTATACTTCATCCAGTTTGCCTTCAAACAAACAAACAAAACACAAAAACAAAAGACAAGACTTAAACATACCAGTACATTTACTGAACTCATCCATACTTCAAATAAAACTGAAAGAAAAGGGCAAAATACACTTCCCCTTTTTTTGTTCTCTTAATGAACCCAACTATTTCCTTCTCCTCATACAAGATACTCCAATAAAGAGCCACATGTTTGACCTCATTTGATTCCCAGATTTGATCTTCCACCATTAGGATGATGAGTTTGGCCAAGGTAGAAAGAGTGACCAGTTTGCTGCTGCTCCATTAACACCACAGTAGTAGCAATCCATTGCCCAGGGATAAACAAAACCAGCTTGCACTAAGGGAAGCCCTCAGGTCACAGCCCAGATGCCACTGGCACTTCAGGAGCTCTATGAGGACTGCAGAGGCCTAAGCAGGGAACACACCACAGACAGAAGAAGGGACTGGTTGGACTGGCAGTTGGCACTTTTGGTCTAGAACTGTCAGCCACTGTGTGTATTCAGTAACAGCTAACAGCACTATCTGCTCCTCCGTATCCTTAGTGTCTGATCTTCTCCCTTCACTAGCCATAGAATCCCTCCAAGACCATCAAGTCCAACCATCAACCCAACTCTACCATGACCACTAAACCATGTCCTGAAGTACCGAGTCCACACATTTTTTTAATCCCTCCAGGGTTGGTGACTCCAGCACCTCCCTGAGCAGCCTGTTCCAGTGCCTCACCATGCTCTGTCAGGAAAGAAATTCTTCCTAAAATCTAAACTAAACCTCTCCTCGTGCAACTTGACCCCATTTCCTCTCATTCTATTGCTAGTTACTTGGGAGAAGAGACCAACACCCACCACATTTCAACTTCCTTTCAGGGAGTTGTAGAGAGCAATAAGGTCTCCCCTGAGAGAGGCTAAAGAAGAGGTCTCCCCTCTTCTCCAGGCTAAACACCCCCAGGTCCCTCAGCTGCTCCTCATAAGCCATGTTCCCCAGCCTTCTCACCAGCTTCATTGCCATTCTCTGGACCTGCTCCAGCACCTCAATGTCTTTCCTATCCTGTGGTGCCCAAAACTGAGCACAGTACTCGAGCTGAGACCTCATCTACAGCATCATGAGTGTAAACTCTCCAGAACTGTACTAACATTACCAAATAAAAAGGCATTTTCCAATTCTGTATTTGCTTATTCCCAGTTTCTGAGCTTTTCTTCCCAGTAAAAGTCACTGAACAAAACAAAATAAAAGAAAGTAGTTGGGCAGGGTGGAACACCAGCACATGGGAAGGACACAGACAGGGACACAAAAGGAAGTTCAAGAATCTACTTCTGAGCAAGTTTCTTCAGTTCTCCCCTCATTTTAAGCCCAGACTCCTACCGAGGGCTCTGCAGTGGATGTAAGAGGCTCCTGTTAGACACCAACCAGCTCACCCCCATGACTTATTTAAGCACTTTGTGCTGCACACGTGCACAGCTCAGACGGACAGCGAGTTCACAGCTCGTCTCTGCAGGCCAGCTTCAGCACCAAAAGGTCTGGAACATGCCTGGAAGATGTTTACATTTTCTCTGTGGCCAGCACTGCCAATTTTAACAGAGGAGTGAGACTTCAGCATGTGCTGTCACTCTGTCAGCCCCAGCTCGTTCTGCCTTCACAGCTCCTGTCCATCCTGCAGCAGGTGTTCTGCAGGAGAGCTCCTCTCTGATCAACTGTCCCAAGAAACAACTGCCTTGAGGACCACAAGAACAAGTGCTTAATTTGACCCAAGATATGGCCAAGGATGAAACCAAGTCCAATATTTACAGCATGTGTGGAGCTTTGGATCTATCTCAGTAAAAAAGGAGGTTTTAATATTTTCAAAAACTTTAAAGAAATATCCTTTGTTTTCCCCTTCAGTTCCTAGAAGCCAGTATAAAAATTCTGGAGGAAAACTGGAAATAGATTAATGTTTCTTATCCCAAATTAGTATATAAAAAAAAAAGAATCATTAAACTTAAGAAACACAATAAAGGTCAGGATCAGACAGCGGAACTCCAGATATGATAGAGAGAGTTACAGGAACAAGACAAGGGACTCCAGTCTAGCATTTCCAAGATTATATTTGTTAATAAAATTATTTTTGCTAGGTCACTTCTGTACGTGGGATAACCTCTCTGTGTAGTGCCTCATTACCTTTATTGTCAAAAATTTCTTCCTTTAATCTGTCTCCCGGGGAAGAAATCTGCAGCCAAAGTTAAAGTAGCAGAAATCGCTGCGTTTTTGAGGATTCAAAGTTTTACCATTCCTTTGGTTTAAGCAAAAAACACACAGAATAACTGTTGAAGAATCAGTCTTATATACTGAGAATGAAGCTCATTGTCTTATAATAAAAATTACAGCAGGTAACACAGAACAGAAGAATTTTAGCTGTGCTCAAAAATAATTCTTGTCTACTAGTAGTGTAATAAATAATCTGAGCCTGTGGGCAAAACCAAACCCAAGCTATTTCTGAAACCCACTGAAATGGCTTTTTTGCTATTCTGTCATCTCATAGCTGCAGAGATGCTATTTCTGCTCAGCAGACAGGAGAATCAGGTTCCCATTTACTGCATTAGGGATGTTTTGGCACTGAAGTTACAAGTCCTTTATCTGGCAATAAGAACATCCTGGTCAGTCACGTTTGTCTCCATTAGGATGGAGCTCCCAAACTCAGGTCTTCTATCACCACTGAGAGAAACTGTGCCCAGCTACAAGTACCTAAGGGTGCTCAGGCAGCAAATTATTCCAGTTTGGACATACTCACAATTTAGTCTGGAGTATTCTTCACTAAAGATGAAAAGAGACATTGTTTTACAGATTTAAAGGTCACTTCAGTCTACAAAATATCCTCCCTCCTTGAGCATTAAATACAGTGCTACACATTAGCATTGCAAATGTTTCAGAAATCTTACAAATCATCTGAAGGCCACCTTAAAACTCAACCTCCAAATTAGCACCCCTGCCCACACATAAAATGCTGTTTTCCAGGTTATCACATTCACACCAACTAGTTACAGCTTTTGATCTTCAAAATGAAGAGCAGCACTTGTACATCAGTGAGACTAAACATACACCTGACACTTAAGAGACCCTTCAATGGCTGCAACCAGACTTCAGGTTTGACTCCAATCTTGCCCTCACTATCACAATAGAAGTGGTGTGAATGCAAGTATATGGCTGTTGAGTGTGGTGGGGGACAAACATAACGCCACCTACAACAGCTGGCAGCTAATCAAATACCAAACACAGGCTTGCTTTTTTATCAAAGGTCCCATCTGGTTTCAGTTTACTGTTTGAGCTCGAAATCTAATTCTTGCACTGTGGCTTTAGCACCTGATGAAAGGCACATGTAACATTCAGTTGTTATCTATCTAGGCCATTCATCCCTGATAACACCATTAAATTACCTTCCTTCTCCTAAGGATTGAAGGATATTTGGCAATATTAGTGAACCACAGACACTATGTGCTCACTTTTCATTTCAGCAAACTAATCCAGGCTTTTGACAGAGCTAGCAAAAAAAGAACAAAGAAGTGATCCTGCAAGTACTCCTTGCTCAAGGTTGATGTCCTGCTGCCATCAGTGCTGCTACCACCACATCAGCTAAGGAATGAAGTCTGCCAAGTTGCAACACTCATTTTCTTCAGAGAATTCTACTGCTACAGCTCCTACCTTCTTTGGGCAAAATAGCCACTGCCGGCGAATGGTCAATGACTTCGTAGAGCTCCCTTTCCACATACTGATCCAGCTCGATGAGCCTCTCCGAGGAGGACTGGGACATCCCGTGATCACTCGTGACTATGACATTGATCACATCCCACAGCTTTGCTTTCTTCAGCTCAGACATAAGATACCCCAACTTTTTGTCAACGTCGCTAATTATCGGCCCCATCAGCGGGTTTTCTGGGCCCAGAATATGGCCCATCTCATCAGGCTGTTCCCAGTACAGGAGACCAAAGTTTATGGGGTCTTCTGACGTGAACCACTCGACAAGCCTATCCACTCTATCTTCAAAGGAAACAGACTCTTTGTAGGGCATATAATACGTAGGAAAGACCCCGTGTATCTTCACATCTGTTCCAGGCCACATCGCTGCTCCCGTTTTATGTCCTTCCCTCTGGTTCGTTACCCATATTGGGCTGGCTTCTTCCCAGAACTCGGATTTATGGATATCCATTCTGTCCAGAGAGAAAGTTTCATTCAGAACAGGATCATACATCTCATTGGCAACTACGCCGTGGCTTTCTGCATAGAGGCCAGTCACCATTGTGTAATGGTTGGGATAGGTTTTTGTTAAGAAGACGTTGGTGACCTGTTTGACATGGACACCATTCTCCATGGCCAAATGGAAACTGGGAGTTGAGACTTTATAGATGTAATCCCATCGAAATCCATCAAAAGACACCAGCAGCACTCTGGGTGGGGCTGGCTGGAGAGACAACGTACTTGGAGGAAATAGCAAGAAAATTGTCAGGACTTTCCAGTAACTGTTCATGGCTATTCTGGAAGGTATTTGTCCTCTCTTCTGGGGCAACATGGCATCTGTTGAGCAGAGACAGAAGATTTATTTTCATTAACCTAAGTGAAAAAGTCATAAATTAGTTTTAAGAACTAGTAGCTAAAAATATTCCTTATGTATTTATTCAGCTTCCCCTACTAACACCAAGCACTCCAAGCAGAGGAACAAGACCTTTTAGCCATCAGTCACATCAAGATACCAATTTCAGAGACGGGAAGTGAAACACACAATTTGATGACTGAAACCCAGTTCACAAAGAAACTTCATTATTCAGCACCACTGCCCAAGCTCTTCCTTTTTTTCCTTCTGCTCCCAACACATAGAAACTCCTGCTCTTGCAATTTGACAAGTCTTCAAGTACTTTCTGTAGTCAAAGTTATAAGAAACTGTTCTATGAGGAAAGTCTCTGCTTGTTAAGATGTAAACAGGGGAAGTTTTCACCTTGAGAATTACAAGGTCCATCTCCACCAGAGCTTTATAACCCTCATTAAAATCTCATTGCTGCTTCTCTGCACAAGGGTGGCACAGACACACAGGGCAGAGCAGCAGACCGGAGCAGGACCTACACACTGGAACTGGAGAACAGCTCCTACCAGAGGTGCAGAGTCAGCCAGAAACCACCACAGCACCTCAGCCCCAACACTCAGTATGGCAGTGTCACATCTCTACCCCAGCCACAGCTTCCCTACATGCCAGAGTTCTTACTGACCCACCAATTGTGATGCTTACTAACAAACAATCTAGTGCACAGACAGCCTTACAAACAAGATACACAAGTCACACCAGTCAGTGTGCAGTTTAAGTTCTTCTAACTAACCATTTATGTCTCTAAATGGATTGGGAAGAGGTGGTTGAAAGATTCAGTGGTACAGGTGAGTCACTGGAAATACCACCTCTTTTAAGCAAGCATCATCTTGTCCTCCCTGGCCAAACACCACTGCTACCCAAGCACAAGCAGCACAACGTATGCAAGACAAGACACAAAATGCAAATCCCATCCATGAACTGCATGAGATGGTGACCACTACACACCGTACCCTAAAGCTCCCGAGACAGACATCCAGCATCAGCTGTGATCTCAAGGACATTGACTATTCCCATCTATGACTGGCACACCCCTGACCTAGTTCCCCTCATCTCTTTCCAAACACTTTCTTGTTCAAAACTCAGTTATCTAACTTAAAATTAAGATCCCTGTAAGAGCTCTCACACAGGATTTCCCTATCTGCAACTGACCTAAATTTTCACGCTCATATTCCCCACTGCTTCCTCATCAGCACCATTGAGCCACAAGGCCAGGCAGTGGTACAGGTGAGACCTGCAGCCCACAGCTCGCCCCCTACACCCAAGCCACAGATCCCCCGCTGGGGAGGGTGGCAAGTAAGCCTCCAACTCCTAAGTGAAATCAGGTCTTATCCTGAATGTTACAGAGCCAAGGATGTCAACAACACCTAGTCTTTGAATTGCACCTTTTTGATAAATAATAAATGTGTTTTTTCAAAGGCTTTCTATACCGGTTTTCCCCGGACACAACGCGAGCCGGATCCTGACCCCGGAGCCCCGCACGACGTCGCGGGGCTCTGGGACCCTGGAGGGCTCCGGCGGGACGCAGACACGCGAGTGCCAGGGCGGGGAGCTGCCCCGCGGACAGACGGACGGACACGGAGGCGCCAGGGGCCCGCTCA